CCCCAATGAAGCACATCAAACATCTGAAGCAGAACCTTCCCCTGCCTGCCGCAGGACAATTATCTGGCGAATCCAACAGGTACTGATACCTCTACTCCCCGGACCTCTCCAGGGATGCGTCCCGACCAGAATTTCGAGGCGAATTCAACGGGGGCAACGAGGGCCCCCGAGGAGGCCGCAAAAGGGGAAAACGGGGGAAGGGCAGCGGCATCGGTACGTTTTCCTCCTCTTGGATATCAATGACACGCCGCCCTGGGGGGGGCCACCGGGCTGCCTGGACGAAAACGACGGAGCACCACGGCTGCACCGGGCTGAAGAAGAAGGAGGAGGGGGAGGAGGAGGAGGAGGAGGAGGAGGAGCACGGAGCACCACGGCGCGTCGCTGCTGAAGAAGCCCCGGGCTGCTCGGACGACAACGACGGAGCGCCACGCTGACCGGGCCCCCGACAGCGGCGTGCCGCCGACGCTCCGCCCAATCCCGAGGGACGGCTCTGCCGCATCGACCCCCCTCTGGGGGAGCCCGCCGTGCCGGCGACCCCTCTCGGGCCCACGCCGACGTGGATTGCGGATCCGTGGATCGTGCGCGCGGGCGCCCTAGGAACTAAGAGCCTCTCTCTCTATCTCTCTCTCTCTCTCTCTCTCTCTATCTCTATATATATATATATATCCTAAAATGCCTTATGCCGCCCTTCATTCGCCCCTTTCTGCGCCGCCCCCCCCCACTTTGGCACACCCCTCACGCAGATCCTTGCCCTCGGAGTGCCAGGAATGGTGTTCTGGGAGCTTTGGCAAATCGCAGGGCGCAACCCTCACGCGGCTCCTGGCCCTCGGAACTCCCGGAATGGCAGTCTGGGCGGGCTCACCGCCGCTGGGCGGCGTCCCTGCGACGCACAGGGACTCGCGTAAAAATATACGTTGTTCTTCACATCGCGTCGTCGCGCGCGCGTGACGCATCGCCCTTGCAGCGGCTTCCCAAAGACTTTGCGCGACTGTCGTCGTCGTCGTTTTGAAATCAATATCGTCGTCTTCGTCATCGGTATCGTCGTCGTTCTGAGGTCAATATGTCTTGGGTCATGGGTGGGTAGGACACGTCCAACAGGCTTCCAGTTTGGGCTAATGGACCCTAAACCCTAAACCCTAAACCCTAGACCCTAAACCCTAGGTCCACGTATCAAGGAGGAGGCCCCCGCGCAACGCGGCGCCAGAGCCGCCCGGCTCGGAGCGCCCCGCCTCCGCGCGAATCTGGGACCCGTCGCTGGTCCAGGCGCCTCAATCCATGCCTGCGCTGCCTCGAGTGTCAGCCGCCTCTCGAGGGGGAATGATAGCGCGGAAGCGGTATGGTCATCGGCCATCTTGGTCTCCGTCACCCTCGCGGATAGGCGACAGGCGGCGTGAACCATGACCAAGATAAGCGTCGACAAGACCCCACCACATCCTTGTCATGGTGATCGCTCCTCCTGGAGGCGGCCAGGGGTTCTGCCCGGGATGGGCTCCGATAAGGTCGGCCAAGGGGGGGGATAAGGCAAATCGACCAAAATCCAGAGGACAAAAAAAAAATGCATAAGCAGAAACTATGCGGATTTCCTGGGTCTGAGCTGGACCCCCATCCCCAGGGCGCGAAGTGCGCCAGGCGGGCCCCAGCGGGCCCCAGCGCAGATCCAAGAAATCCGCACGGAGCGTCGAAAGTCTTTGCTTATACAATTCTACTTCGAGAATCGGTTCCCGAACCCCTCCCGGGGTCCATCCGCAGCAATTCACCGCAGATCTGTTTTGCACGGCCCGGGGCCCAAGAACATGCCCCCACCGAGACAGCAAGAGGCAAGAGGCAAGACACCGGTTCGAACCCTGGGGGGGGGGGCCCAATGTATACACCACGTCGTTTGGTCGGCCAAGGAACTCGGTGTATAGACGCCCCATCTGCCCGACCTGTGGGACGCTGGAGCGTATATACAGTGGAGGCCAGTCCACAAGAAACCTTCCATAAGAAACCCAACCCTGAGACCCCAGGACGCCAATTGATTTTCGGTGTCTGGGAACAGCACGCTTTCGTCCCATAGCATTACTGTCGAAATCCAAGAAGCCCAAGGCACCCTGGAGGCAAGCAGGGTGCTTCTTTGCATGGGCCTCCCCAAAATTCCTGACTACCTACCAAACCACCCCAACCCAACCCGAAGACCCCAGTTTCGGGTTGGGGGGGGGTACGGGTTCCACATGTGTTTTTTCAGTGTTCCCCGACCCCCCCCACACTGGAAATGGAGGGCAAATTGAGGCCTTCCGGTTGGGTTCGGGTGGTTTGGTTAGGGGGCCACACGCGAACGCTACCCCTCCCCCTCAGAAATCGTAGGGGGTAGGGGTAGGGTTCGCATGAGACCCCACATTGGTGGGCGGTGAGTTCCTGCGCCGGACTCATGGGCTCCTTGGCCGACCAGATCACGTGCTGCGCACATCCAGCCCCTCCGAGGCCTGGAACATCGAGCCCCGCCCCCTGCCGTCGCTTGGTGAAGGGGCCCTGGGACATACAAATAAATGCACACACACACACACACACACACACCAAAAAAAAACTTCCCCCATACTTTCCCATATTTCCTGGGTTTTCGTCTTCCTCCCCACTTCCCATATTTTCCCATATTTTCCTGGAGATCGACGAATCATTGTGTCTGTGTGTTTTTATATCCCTCCTGAGCTTGGGCCTCCATGCCCCCCCCGTGCACTGTCTCGGCCTCGCGCGTGCCCTGCGTGCTCGACGACCCAGGCTTCGGCGCGTGCGCTGCTGCGGCTCCGCGCGTGCATGACTTCGGCTTCGCGCGTGTTTTCACCGTTGAAGGGAAACTGGGGCACACAAATATAGATAGACACGAGTAGCCATACTTTCTGTGTTTTTGCCTCCCCCCCCACTTCCCATGTGTTCCCATATTTTCTTGGGAATCGACGATGAGTTGTGTCTGTGTGCTTTTCCCCTCCTGAACCGTTTCGGCTTCGCGCGTGCCGTGCGGGGCCCCCGCCGCACGCGAGCGTGCGCACGCCCCAGCGATGCTCCGAGGGGCCCCTCACGTCCTGCTGGCCGGGTCCAATGCTGGGCCGCCTCCAAACCCCCGGCCGGCCCCAGCGCCCCCTCTCTCGGAGACGGGCCCCTCCAGCGGGGGGCCAAGGGCCGCGCACCCCCCCCCCCCTTGCCCCCTTGCCGCCGCTCGGGCGTCCCCATCCCCGCGCATGCTTCGGACTCGCGCGTGCATGTCTTCGCACACTGCTGCCAGCCTGGAATACCTATCCCCACCCCCATGTTCGGCATCGCCTCATCGCGATGGCGATCTTGGGGATGCACCCTCAACTCCTGAGGGTGCACCCCTAAGATTGTCATCGCCTTTTGGCGTGTCGATCTCAGGGATAGGGATAAGTTCGAGGCTGGTGAGACTTGTCCAAGATTAGGGGAACAAGAAGTGGCATAAACATAAAAACTCGGAGGTCCGCGCGGATTTCTCGGATCGGCGCTGGACCCCCCTCCCTGGCGCGCGGAGCGCGCCAGGGGCGGCGCTGGAGGCGCCGCCAGGGGGGCCCCAGCGCGGATCCGAGAAATCGCGCGCGGACCTCCGAGTTTTTATGTTTATGTCATTGCTTGTTCCCATAAAGATGCTCCTCGAGGAGGGAGGAGGAGGAGGAGGAGGAGGAGGAGGAGGAGGAGAGGAGAAGGAGGAGGAGGAGGAGGAGGAGGAGGAGCAGGAGGAGGAGGAGGATGGTCCCCGTCGCGAAAAAATGCACACGTCCGAAGCGAGGCGCACACCCCCCAGCTGTGGCCCCCCCGCGGCCGGCCTCCCGCGGGGCGCGCGCCTGCCGTGGGACGTCCGCGAGGAGGCGCCCGGGCTCGCAGACCCCGAGAGCCGTGGCGTGCCCCCGAGAGGAGAGGTGCCAAACAGGAGGACGCCGAGATGTGAGTCCTCCTCCTCCTCCTCATCCTCCTCATCCTACCTCCTCTCTCCTCCTCCCCCTCCTCTATCTCCTCCCCCTCCTCCTCCTTCTCCTCTCCTCCTCCTCCCTCCTCCTCCTCATCCTCATCCTCATCCTCATCCTCATCCTCATCCTCATCCTCATCCTCATCCTCATCATCATCATCATCATCATCATCATCATCATCATCATCATCACATCATCATCATCATCATCATCATCATCATCATCATCATCATCATCATCATCATCTCATCATCATCATCATCACATCATCATAATCAGCATCATCATCATCATCATCATCATCATCATCATCATCATCATCATCATCATCATCATCATCATCATCCCCTGCCTCTCCTCCTCCTCTCCTCCCTCCTCCCTCCTCCTCATCCTCCTCCTCCTATCCTCCCTCATCCGACTCCTCCTCCTCCTCTCCCCCCCCCTCCTCCTCCCTCCTCCTCCCTCCCCCCCTTCTGCTCCCTCCGCCTCCTCCTCCTCCCTCCTCCTCATCCTCATCCCTCCTCCCTCCTCCCTCCTCCTCCTCCTCCTCCTCCTCCTCCGAATTATTATTATTAGCATTGTTATGATCAGTATTGTTAGTGATAGTGGTATTCTTATTAGTAGCATTAGTATTGTTATTATTATTAGTAGTATATTATTGATATTATTATTAGTATTATTATTATTATTGTTGTTAGTATTGTTAGTAGTAGTACTATTATTTTGTTTATTACTCTTCGTCATATTCGCCTTATGATTCTTAATATTTGTATTATTAGGCTTATTGATAGCATTCTTATTCTTATTATTATCATTCCTTTTCCTCCTCCTCCTCCTCCTCCTCCTCCTCCTCCTCGTGTCAGGAGGAGGCGCGGTCAGGATGCAAGATCCTTCTGAGGCCTTTCGAGCGGGGCGCGGCCAACGGAAGTGGCCAGCGATGGGCCGATGAGGCAGGGATGCAAGGGTACCCTTGGGAAGGTCGTACCCATCCTCACCATGCGGGTTGCCTGCGCCCAGTGACCCTTGATTTCAGTGTCTTGACTGCACTTGCTACCCCAGCTCTTCGACCCACCTGTGGCGGCGGCATAGGCCGCCTTGGGGGGGGCGCCGGGGCTGCGATGTTCGCATCAGACCGCCCTCGGCCTGCGATGCATCGAGGCACCAGGGAGGCAACGGAACAGCGCAGGCGGCCGCAGGAGCCCAACGCCTCGCGCCCTGAGGTCCGACGACACGAACAAGCTTGCAACATCATCGAAACCTCGACTGGAGCCCTGGACCCTGTCTGCCGCGCTTCACAGGCAGCCCCGCGCTGCGAGAAACATGCAACGCCGGGACCTCAGGGGGGCCACGTCTGAGCCTCGGGGATCGACTGACCCCGGCTGTGCAAAACCGGGGCCAGCTGGGCGCTGCAGGATCCTGCCAGATCCTGCAGGATCCTGGGCGCTCGCCCAGGGAAATGCAACCCTGGCCCTGCAGGATCCTGCCACGTCGGGCGCTCTGGCTGACCCCCGTTTGCATTGACCCCCGTCGCAAGGCTCCCGAGACCATGAATTCCGACGTCGCGAAAAATGACAACATCGCAAAAAAAAAAAAACACAACCGGAGCGCCGGACCCCTTCTTTCTGCGTCACTCTTCGAGCCGGATCGATCCGTGAGGGCCCCGGGGCCCTTACACGAGGCGACAGCGCCCGCGGTGCAAAGACTGCGACGCGCCAGGCTCTCGGGGGAGAGCCCACTCTGCACTGACCCCCGTTTGCCTCGACCCCCGTCTCAAGGCCTCTGAATGCGCGGTTGGGAGGCTGCACCGGGAGGCTAGAACCCTCCTTGATGGGGTCCGAGTAAATGGGGCCCGAGGATCTCACCGCATCGCCGATGCATCAACGATGCATCGCTGACGCCTCGGCGATGCATCGGCCATGCACTGGCGGCGTCAGCGATGCGTCGGCGACGTCGGCGTGGAGAAAGTGCTCGGCGTGCTCGGGGCGAGCCCGGGGATAGGTAGTGCTCGGCGTTGCACTCGAAGCCCTGCATGTCGGCGCGGAGCACCGCAAGGTCGGCGTCCTGGGGCCGCGGGGCCGCTCGAGGTCTCGCGCGGGGCTTCTGGGGGGCTCGAGGTCTCGCTCGGATCTCGCGCGGGGCCGCGGGGCCGCTCGAGGTCTCGCGCGGGGCCGCTCAAGGTCTCGCTCGGGTCTCGCGCGGGGCTTCTGGGGGGGGCCCTAACATGGGGCCGAAAACGCGGGGGGGGGCGCCCAAGACCAAGCGAAGCTCCGATCGGACGCCCGAAAGCGGCACGCCCCTTTTTTTCTCATGACACTCGACGCAGCATCGGCGGGCGTGCTCGGCGGGAGGGGAGGGGAGGGGATGGGGGGAAGAAGGAGGGGGAGGCGAGGGGGAGGGCGACGGAAATCAGCTGGTCATATACTCTACATACTTGCTTCCCAAAGAGAGATCAGAAAATTCACCCTCTTAACCCCGAGAAGTATTTAAGAACCCCCCAGGGTTATTTTAGCACCGCAAGTTTATTCCACATGCCACGGGGGCATATTCGCGAAGCGATACCGCCCGCAAGCAACGAAACAAGATCCCAATCGGTGGCGGCCCTTATGGGGCCAAGAAATGGATTCGCAGGGAATGTCAAGGATCTTGCTAAGATCCCTGTGGCTTCCTAGGGAATGCCAGGAGTGTGGCTCAGATCTTTAGGAATTCCCAGGGAATGCTCGGGATCTGTGTCGAACCCCTGAGGATTCCTAGGGAATGCAGGGGATCTGGCCCAGATCTCTGTAGTAGCTGCTAGGAGATCTTCAAGATCTGGTACAGATCCTGGCGGCTCAGAAGTGTTTAGTAGAGCTTAGCAAGGCCCAGCAGTGCTTAGCAGAGCTTTGCAAGGCCCCGAGTGCCCTCTGGAGGCCCTCCTGGTGCCGAGGTGACGCTTCCAGGGTGCCGGAAGCATTATCGTTTCACCGAGAGGGGGAGGGTCTTGAATACTTCTCTGGGTTAATAATCACCCCGACTCGCAAAGCCGTTTAGTAAACGCACCCAAAGAATCGAACATGGCAGGATTGTTTAGTAAACGCCCAGGGCTGGGTAGCACACGCCAATTGTCGGGACCAGGTGGTTTTTCCTCCCTTGGCAAAATCGATCACTTCAGTCGGGAGCGGGTAACCCTCAATCAGCGACCCTCGCCCCCCGACCCTCGATCGTCGACCTCGACCCTCGCCCCTCGATCGTCGACATCGACCCTCGCCCCCTCGACCCTCGCCCCTAGACTTCGGTCGGGCGTGTCCCCCTATAGGCGGATTTGGGGCGAAAGATGAAAAATGCCCAACTAAAAATACTACTAATAATATTAATAAGAATAAAAATAATAATAGTCATAGTAATAAAGATACTAATAATATCTATAATAATAATAAGAAGAAGAAGAAGAAGAACAGTAATAATGATAACAATAACTGTACATTAAAAAATCCCGCGACTATGTTTGGACTACTTCCCGAACACTCCTCCGCCAGGCCTTCGCCCCTCGCCCCTCGACGAGCCGACGTCGGCCCCCGCCCCTCGACGAGCCGACGTCGCCCCCCGCCCCTCGACGAGCCGACGTCGCCCCCCGCCCCTCGACGAGCCGCCTCCGCTCCGCGGCCGCCCCCGCGGCGGCCGCGAGGGGCCCTCCGGGAGCCCCCCCCGGGGGGGGGGGGCCGAAGATCAGGGGAAACAACACACAGACACAATGAATGGTCGAAAGCCAGGAGAATGTAGAAAAAATATGGGAGGAGGGGGGGGGGGGCGGGAAACGACAACCAAGAAAATAGTGTAAAAGGGCTCCCGGCGCCCCAGCCCCCCCCGGGGGGGGGGGCCGCCGGGGGGGCCCCCCGCCGGGGCGCGCCGGCCGCGCCGGAACGGCCGGGCGGCGGAGCGTCGGTGGGCACTGGCGGCACGGGGCGGGCCGCCGCCGCGCAGCACGAGACGGCCGGGAGCCGGCGGCGCCGGGACGGAGGAGCGTTTTTGTTCCCAACCCTCCTATGGCTGGGTGCTCGTTCTGAATAGAGCAGTGTGGTCGCCCCGGCCTCCTTCTTCTCCTCCCCCCTCCTCCCCTCCTCCTCTCCTGTCTCCTGCGTTCCCCTCTCCTCTGCTCTCGTGCCGGGAGCCGGCGGCGCCGGACGAACGAGCGTTTTTGTTTCATTCGGCGTTTCGGCATTGGCACGAACGAAATGGGCACGGAAAGAACGGGTACAGCGCCCAGCAGCGGATCTTGTTCATTTTGAACAGGGCTCGCTGTCCACGCCGCCGCGGCCTGTGTCCATTCGAGACAGAAGGCCGCCTGCCCAACAGCGGCCGCAGTTGGTTTGGGACAACATTTGTTGTTGTCCCCGGAAAGAATGAGTACAATGCCCAACAACAAATGTTGTCCCAGACCAGCAGCGGCCGCCGTTGGGCAGGCGGCCGTGTGTCTCCAGTGGACACAGGCCGCGGCGGCGCGGGCAGCGAGCCCTGTTCAAAATGAACAGGGTCTGCTGTTGGGTATTGTACCCGTTCTTTCCGTACCCATTTCGTGCAGAGCACAGGGCTGGCCGTCGCCGCGCAGCACAAGACGGCCGGGAGCCGGCGGCGCCGGACGAGGGAGCGTTCTTTTTTTTTACTCGGCGTTTCGGCATTGGGCGGAAGGGGCTGGCTCCGGGCCTCTGCTTAGGGTGACTGCTTGTTTGCGACAGTGCGTCCGATGGGTGAGGGGCTCCACCTGCTCGAAACAGGCGCCAAAAACACCCAAGATCCACTCCAGGGGGGGGGGAGGAGGGGGGGGTGCGAGGGCCCGCGCCGATCGGCAAAACAATGAATAAAAAAACGATAACAAGGCGCCTCCGCCGACAGTCCTGTTTGCACAGTCCTCGCACTGTGCTGCGGCCAGGCTGGTTATTATGGCCTTCCCGGCACTTCTGCTGGGCTCCAGCGTGCTTGAGTTTCTCAGCCTTCCTTCGTTTCGCGCGGGGGGCAGCCGACCCGTGTCAGAAGGATGCGTCGGGGATCTGCTGGCCGGGGTCAATCCAGACCCAGGTCAGTCAAGCCTCGCAGAATCCTGCAAGGTCCTGCAAGATCCTGCACCCAGACCCGTGTCAGCGTGAAGGATCCTGCCAGATCCTGCAGGATCCTGCGCCCAAGCCCGGGTCAGTGCGACCCTGGCCCTGCAGGATCCTGCCACGTCGGGCGCTCTGGCTGACCCCCGTTTGCATTGACCCCCGTCGCAAGGCTCCCGAGACCATGAATTCCGGCGTCGCGAAAAATGGCAGCATCGCAGAAAATCACGACCGGAGCGCCGGACCCCTTCTTTCTGCGTCACTCTTCGAGCCGGATCGATCCGTGAGGGCCCAGGGCCCCTTACACGAGGCGACAGCGCCCGCGGTGCAAAGACTGCGACGCGCCAGGCTCTCGGGGGAGAGCCCACTCTGCACTGACCCCCGTTTGCCTCGACCCCCGTCTCAAGGCCTCTGAATGCGCGGTTGGGAGGCTGCACCGGGAGGCTAGAGCCCTCCTTGATGGGGTCCGAGTAAATGGGGCCCGAGGATCTCATCGCATCGCCGATGCATCAACGATGCATCGCTGACGCCTCGGCGATGCATCGGCCATGCACTGGCGGCGTCAGCGATGCGTCGGCGACGTCGGCGTGGAGAAAATCGGGCCCCACATCGAGCCGCATGATCCTCCGACCCCATCCACTCCGACCCCATCTAGGAGGCCTAGGATTATGTTGTTCCCATCGTACTTAAGGACCACATCCCAGAAATAATTTCGAGCACCCGGAAAAGTGTCGAACAAGTGTCGAAATAGTGTCGAAACAGTGTCGAAGAGTGTCTCCCAGGGCCCGACACGTGAAAACCTTGAGGAGGGCGAGGATGAGGACGAGGACGAGGACGAGGATGATGAGGAGGAGGAGGAGGAGGAGGAGGAGGAGGAGGAGAGGGCGACGAGATCGACACATGACCACTGATCCCTGGCCAGGCCCATCCTGAACCCAGCAGCAGTGTGTACGCCACGCCCTCCTGGCCAAGCCAGGACGGCGTATGACATGTGTAGATTTCGTCGCCCAATACTTGCTGCAGTGGACCCGTATCATAAGGATGCGCGGTAAGGTTGCAAGGGCATCGGAGGGCCACGTTAAACGGTGTTGAAGCGAGGTTGGCCAGCGAAAGTCGCTGAAGATGGGCCGAATGGGACAAGGATGCCAGGGTACCCTTGGGAAGGTTGCCCATCTTAACTACAGTCAAACCGTACCGTCGGGGAATTGACCTAAGGAACCCTAAATAAGGAGCGAGGCCCCTTTTTTCCATAAGTTAACCTTCGATTTCCGGTCGAAAACAGAAGGAAAACCTGAGGCAAGCTGTAAAACACTTAAGGAACGCGGAGCCCCTCCCCAACGAAAAGGGTTCCTTCTTCAGGGCCCCGACTGTATCATGAGGCTGCGCGGTAAGGGTGCAAGGGCCTTGGAGGGCCACGTTGACGTTGTTGGAGCGAATGTTGGCCAGCGAAGGTCGCTGAGGAGGGGTCGAAGGGGAAAGGATGCAAGGGTACTCCAGATTTCGTAATAAAAGGGAGGGGGTCTGGACCCTCCAAGACAAGCCATTTCAGGCCTCCCCCGTGGGAGAACCCTCCAAAACATCGTCCCCAGTGTGAAAGTTAAATTAGCAAGGATGTGAGGTATAGGATGATGTTTAGAATTGTCTATGTTATTGCTCTCATTCGCTCATGCTTGCATTCTCTTGTTCACTATTGCCATTTGTGGCTTGGACCCGCCCAGCTGTGGCGGGAGGGTGGACGCATTCTACGACTGTCTAGCTTGACATCGGAATAAGAACAGATCATACTCTATATATTCCTTCTTGCATCAAGGAGTTGTGGGTGGAGAGGTTTGGATCATTATTTACACTGGTAGCGTGAGCTGAATCAGTCCACGGTACGAGGATTACATACAGAGTGGCCTTGCAGGCATATATGCTGGCGCTCAATTACATCCTCGCGGTGCTTAACCACTGCGCTCATCAACAGAGCACGGTGATCGACAAAACGCTCAA